TCCCCATTATTAAGGTTCACTAAAAGACTGAATAAAAGAAAGAAAAAAAAGAAAGAAACATATCATCTTCTTAGACATCAAAGCACATACTAGATTTTCCAGAGGAGAAAGCTCCAAGTTCCCCTGACACTGGAACTAAGCCTTGATGTTTACAACTCAACAGAGACAACCTGCTCAAAATAAGACAGCAGTGATGCTCAACAGAGACAACCTGCTCAAAATAAGACAGCAGTGATGGGACAGACACCCGAGACCTGTGATGCAGCAGGATGGCCACAAGGATGCTCTCCAACCACAAAACGACTAAACATCCCCTCTTCTGACCAACAAGCGTGACTACTGCTTCTACATTAAAGGCAACTGCTCTCATCTTTTTGTTTAAATTGGGGTTTAGTTGTTTTACAACGTTGTGTTGGTTTTTGCTGTAAAATGGAGTGAATCAGCTGTATGTATACACGTACCCCTTCCCTCCCGAACCTTCCTCCCACTCCCCTACCTCACCCCTCTAGGTCATCACAGAGCACCGAGCTGAGTTTCCTGGGCCATAGAGCAGGTTCCCACTAGCTAGCTATTTTACTCATCCACTCCCCTCACCCTAATCTGCCTAACACCTAGGTAAGTTATGAAGACGCCCAACTCCTGAATTGCCCTGCTTCCTTAAACCCTTGTAATCACCCAGCACAAGGCCAGATCCTATAATAGGCCCCTCTCAACTGCCTCTTACCAAGGCACGCACACCTCCTGAGCTGCATGATCTCCCCTGCTGCGGCAAGTAAGACCTAGTTTGTTTGACTCTCATCTTGTTTCTTGCGGTTCTTGGCTGGTAAGTTTCAATACAGGGCAATCCTGATATTAGTAATCGGCCTTGGCGTCAGTCTGGGGGTCCCTCTCATGACTTTGGATCACCATAACCATGCTGCGTAGGCAGCAAAAGGGGTCGTTAGTTCACAAAAAGCAAGGGTCCCAGTTTGAGATTACTGTCAGTGAGTGACTGTGGCCACCAGCCAGCTAACTGTGTGATGGCCTAAGCCACCTCACCCACACTCCTCCGCCTCTCTGGATATATACACCAGGTGGCTCTGGGTGTTACTGTGAGCAGTGGCACAGTGCACTTAGAGTTCCCCTTAGTCCACAGAAAGAAACAGAATACTCCCCATAACCTAACAGATACCGTTACTATTTCAGATAGCTTTCTTTCTTATAGTTTCCATTAGTTCACAAAAAGAAACAAAACAAAACATTCACCATAATCCAATAAATAACATCTTAGATAGGTTTCTTTGAGTTTCCATTAGTTCGTGAAAAGAAACAAAATTTTCACCATAACCTAATAAGTATCATTTCAGATAGAAACATATTTCCCAATTTTAGAAACAATCATGTGACTTTTTTTCATGTGTGACTTTTAAAAAACTAGTTATTTTTTTTTTAAAGTTCTGATTTATAGACATCCAAAACTAAAATTTCACCCTTAAAGGTCAAGTCCAGTTACAATCAGGACACTAAATAAAAAACTGTAATAACAGCAAAGCATTTTTTGAGCACTTACTATGTGCCTGGATTCATGCTATTTTACATACATGTATTATTTCATTCCATTTATGCAACAAGCCTTTAAGAACCAATATCCCCATTTTACAGGTGAGAAAACAGAGGTTCAAAAAGGCTAACTGATTTACCTCAGTCACAGAGCTACAGGTGCCAGGGCCTAGTTTTGAATCCAAATGTCTATGATTCCAAACTCTAAGATCACCAGGTAGATTGTTTCTCCTGGGCATGAGTATACATTACTGACCTTGAAGACAATATAAGATTGGATTATAATGAAAGCAGTTAAAAAATATAAACAAACTATAGAGCACTATTTAAAGTGTCTGATAATATTAGAATTTAATATTGCCACACCAAGTTTTTTACTATCCCATTTACAGCCAAAGCTACCAAGAAAGAAGTCACCTTGCACAAGCTACTCTCTGTATCAAGGAATATACACATTTAAAAAACTAGCTGGTATATAAATTATCTGAAGGTAGCCTTGGATTTTTATAAGCTTCTCCTTTCTGAATTATCTTCTTTAAAAAAAGGAAAATAATGCATGTGTGAACAATACCTGTGTGAAGAGAAATTTCAATGGGAAAACATTATCCCTCCTCCCCAATAAACAAAAATAAAAGGACCTTTAAAAGACACTTTCACTAACAGTTCTTTTCTGAACAAAATAAACAAGAGCAAAGGGCACCTTGACTACTACTTAGGAAATAAAATCAGAACACAGGAAAATCTGTAATTCTAATCACATTTACACCTTCTCTCCTTTTTTACATTTCTCATCCAAACATCCTTAGGAGCTCAATAGGCTTAAAAGAATTGGAGCAGGGTAGAGAACAAAGGTGAGTGGAATCTGAGAAAGAGCTTAAATGGCTGTTCTCACCCTTTTAGTAATTTCAAATTGGGTAACATAGCTTTCAGAAGATTTAAAAGTCACAAATAGAGGATTAAATGGTAAGAACTTATTCTACCTGCTTATATTATTTAAATGGCATTTTGGCCAGGCATCTCAGGAATTAACCACTTGTAGACAAGAAATGCAAGAAAGCACTAAAAAAATTTAACTTTTAAGGAAAACAAATATCAAATTTAAATGAACTAGCTTTAGTCAATAAAAGTCTATGTGCTAAACACATGTACTTGCTAACAAGAATATTAATATTTCTATTCTTATGTGAGAATGACTATGTAGATATTAACTATGTTTTCTCTTGAGATTGAGGGCAATTTTAGAAAATAAGGTTCAACTACTATACTCAATCAAATTAAATGTTATAGATCACATATAAATACAAAAATAAAGAAAAGCATTTATGAGTCATGTGGTATGTGTAATTCACTCAAATGGGGGAATGAAAAAAAATTAGTGGAAAGATAAGAGACATCAATGTTTAAAGAAAGTTTAATGTAATTATTCAAATAAAAAATAATAATAGAGAAACAAAGAATTCAAAATTATATCGAATTCAGATGTGAGTGTTTGTTATTCGGTGATTCTGATTCAGAATAATACTTTCATGTGACTTTTTCTTACTGCAAATGTCAAAGGAATTCAGCACTTCTTTTCAGCAGCACAACTGATGTCCCTAAGAGTTCAGCCCTGCATGGCCCCCTCAGTAGGCACTGCTATGACCCCACCATCGTCTTAAGTCACAGATAAAGTACTAACAATGCGGAAACAAACCAGAATGTCTTAGAAAAGAAGATGCCTGCCATCCTGGCTCTTTTTTGTGCCATGTGTATCAAACACAAATAAGTACAACGATTTCCTTCTACTGTAGGGCCCAGCTTCAGTTTCTGTAAAATGTTATGCCAGTGACTGATACTCTGCAAAGTTCTTCTAAAGAGATGAAACACACAGGGTTCTAGAATTGCAATACCTTCTAGTCACTGTATTACATTTAGCAAGTACCAGAAACACCGAGATACGAGAGGGGTGGAGAAATCAAGTCCTTAACCGTCCACATTTGTGAACATATCAGCCAAAATTATGGGGTGGGGGGCAAAATCTAGTAATTCAGCTGAGGATTTCATGCCCAATGAAATGCCACGCCCCCATCCCCGCCGCCCCAACACACAGAGTCACTTAAGCAGCTTTAGCTACTGTCTAGTGAGGTTTCGTTTTGTTTTGTTTTTTAATGAAACAAATGCACTGAAATAAAACGACCGGTTTTACAAAGGGGATGGTATCCTTTGAGGACAGAACTGCCCTAAGCTGAGAGCATCTATACTGTTTCAACCAGTAAAAGTGCCTAGCACCGAACAGGTATCCAAATACATATTTGTGTGTTTGTTTAAAAAACTAGTCATGTAAGCTAAAATGGATTCACCGTGCCCAACGGCTCAGATTTTCCTTGTGGGATGACTCTAGAACGGAGTTGATAAGCAGCAAAGAAATCAAGCGAAAGAGCTACGGCTCCCCAGTGCTAGCAGCAAGTCTCACCCTACACAGGCAAACAGAACAGATGTAGACCCAAGCATCCTCCACAAATAAACTGTCCAGCCAATAAGCTCACAGCATTTGGCAATTAGCCTCGTAATTAAGTGCACTGCTCCAGTAAGATCTTAACTCCAGACACCTGCTGTTGCGTTTAACAACTAAGATCTATTCTTCCAGACCGAATGTTACTGGAAATCCGCCGGCGGAAGCACGGAGGGAGCGCCGAATAGCGGATAAGGGTGCAGGCGCACGCGAGCAGCAGAATCGATACTCGCCGCATTCACTGTATTCCTGCCCCTTCAGTCTCTGTCTGGTAGATCTCGCCCGTGTTAAGTGGCTCCCCAGTGCACTCTGATCGCCTGTTGCCAGCACATCGTTCAGGCGTTGCAACTAAGCAGTGGTTCCGAGAGGCACAGTGAGTTGGTTCCTGCAAGGAGGGACTGGATGCCCGGGCGTAAAGAGGGGGTGCTCAGAGTTACACCAGGATGAGTGCATGGGGTCCGAGTCCTCATAACAGAGGAGACCGGCCGCCCTGGTCAGTACCCCATTCTCCAGCAAAGGAGGATAATGCAGGTTTGTGCTGTCAGTATCAAACTTGGAGCCACCAACCCAACTCCATCCACCGTGTGAGAAAGCAAACCGAGGCCCCCCGGCGGGGCACTAGGGAAGTTCCCACTCGTTAACAGAACAGCGGTCAGGCAGCGCTGTCCCCCGCTGTCAGCTCTGCTGGCCTCTTGCAACGCGTCAGTGAGACTAACGGAGCCTGGCGGGAAGCGAACATCCGGAGCTCGACTCAGCCGCAGGCGGAGTCCTGGAGCTCCCGGAGCCGCGCTGCGCTCGGGATGATCACACCGCCCTTCTCCCGGAGGCACCCTGTGCGGTCGGAGGATCTGAAAGGTCAGCTTCCCCCAGGAAAGGCCATCCAGAGAGCTTGAGCAGCGCAGGGCCCACGCTCCGGACGCCCCAGCCCTCGCCCAGGCTCCCAGCCCAGCGCCCACGGTCCGCGCCTTACCTGCCCGTGGCGAATCCGGCAGCCCCTTGACAGGTCCCACCAGGCGCCCCTGGAAAAGTTTCCGAACTTCTTCGCAGCTCTGCACGCCCTCGCTTCGGATAGACCCCACGAGAGCCAGCAGGAGGAGACAGCGAGAGCCCACGCGCCAGGTCTGCGCGTCCATCCTCGGTGTCCCGGTCACTCCTTCCCTCGCCGTGGAACCCACTCTCCCCGCGCGCCCGGCGCTGCAGGCGTTGGAAAAGGCTCGGCGGTGCGATCCGGCGGCGGGCGGGAGTCCAGCCGCTCTGGGATCCCGGCTTCACCTTCTCCTAAGGTGCCCCGAGACAGATCGCGGTGTTCTCGGGCAGAGCGCCGCCGGGTCTCCCTCTCCGACGGGAGCGAGATGGCGCGGCGCGAGCGAGGACAACGGCAGGAGCCGCACGGAGCCCGCGAGCTTTCGGCTCTGGCCGTCGCCGCGGGCTGCACTGCCAGCTGCCAACCTGAGACTCGCCCGCGGGTCGCGCTCCGCGGACAGGCCCCGCCCCGTGGCTAAGCCACGCCCCCGCGCGACGCCACGGGCCGCACCCGCACCGCTGCTGAGCCGCTGTCCACGCGGCCCTGGCTGGAGAAAGCCCAGAGCGGAGTTGCCTGGAGGAAACCCGACCTGCCTCTCCCCATCCATTCCTGGGACCAGCAGTCTGATGAAAAGAAGAGCTCAGAGAAGACAAGATATGAGAAATACCAACTAGAACTAAGATGAAATACTTCTCCATAAATCAAGGTCTTCAGTGCACAGGAATTTGTGTTTAAATTGCATGAAATGGTATCTGGGCTCAATACAAAATAAAAAAAATTATACTTAAAGATCTCAATTGTGAGGCTCGATAGCACTTAGTTTTAAAAGAGTGTACAGGAGAAGCTATTTTTCAAAAATTGTTTTATGTTGCCACTTTGGAATATTTTTAGTTAGTATTACGATTTTCTGAAAGAATTTAGAAGTCATAAGAATTACATGTAAACAGTATAACGTCCTTGCTTTGACAGTAAAATCCAGTTTCTTCTCTTATTACCCGTTAGCATCATATTTTGCTTCCGTACTTTTTATCTATAAGGGCCGTTCTGAGCTTTACCACTTCTCTAATTTTAAAAACATTTCTCAAAGATTTATAAGGCAAAGTGCTCAGAAGAGTTTCTCATAAGCAAGAGACGAAAATGAAGACTTTAAACGATTTTAAAATGACAATGGAATTTTGTCAATTTACAAAAGGAATGCATTAGAAACCAAAAGTCAGAGGACCAGGCGTATTTCTGAAATGTGATTGACTCAACATAAGCCTGTGAATGACAAGAGTGTTTCATCTTCTGTAGGCACCTGAAGTCCTCCTCCAGTAAAACAAAACTACTTAAAAGCATCAGGCCAGGGGAACTATAAATGCTCTAACCACTTAAAGGGAATTTATTCTCATATTTGAACTTTTGCCAAGAAATAGAGATGAATAATGTTGTCTTAGTTAAGTGTCATGAGACTTTTAATGACCAGTGATATCAAAGGCAGAGCTTTCAGCAGTAGATCGCTTGCTCTAAAACCATCCCAGGGCAATGGCTGAGATACTTCTTCAGGGAGATAGTGCTTACTTGGCTTTTGACATCAATTCCACGAATACTAGATATTTTTTAAGATGCTTTCTCAATAAATGAGAATAAAAAAATTGCTTAATTCAAGGACTTCAAGCAAAACTTTATATATGTATCCTGCTGGGGGAAGGGTGGATACTAGCCCCATGAATCTTCTTCCTTAGCCACCAAGTGTGGAAAGACTGCTTGGAAGTCAGCTCTACCTACAAGAAAAAAAAGAAGGATAACCATGAGAACGTGTACTGTGCTTAGATGCCAAACAATATTCTAAGTGCTTTTTAAGGGTACTAAGTCATTCATTTAATCTTTATAACAACCCTATAAAGTAGTTACCACTATCATCACTCTTTTACCGACGAGGTAACAGGCTCAGAGAGGTGCAGTGATTTGCCCAAGGCCAACATAGCTATTAAATGGTAGAACCAGAAATCAAACCCAGGCCTTGAAATCCAGAATGTTTGCTATTAACCATGGGCTCTCCACAACCACTCCATTCCATACCAAAGAACCTATTGGGTTACATTCAGTAAAATATGTTACTTATATGTTAAGTCCTTACATGTTACTATTAAGGCTAATAAGTCCCTAGGTTTTCCCTTTTTTAATGTTTATTTGATTTTGGCTGTGCTGGGTCTTCGTTGCCGAGCGCTGGCTTTCTCTAGTTTCCCCAAGCGGGGCCTACTCTCTGGTTGCTGTCGTGGGCTTCTCGTTGAAGTGGCTTCTCATTGCATGAGCTCTAGGGTGCAAGGGCTTCAGTAGTTGTGACACATGTGCCCAGATGCCCCGTGGTATGTGGGATCTTCCCAAACCAGGGATCAAACCCACATCCGCGGCATTGGCAGGTGGACTCTCAACCACTGGACCACACAGAAGTCCAAAATCCCTAGGTTTTTCCAGAACTTCTTTTTCTTTTTAACCAAGCTTTCTTGATTGATTTGATCATCACAGAGTAGCACTAAAAGGATCTCAGAGTTTACTTGGTCCAATTCATTCACTTGGAATCTCTAAAACAATCTGTCTTACGAGGGGAAAATCACAAACATTATTGAGAATTATTGGTGGTTCAGTGAAAACTAATCAACTTAGAATATTGATTGAACATATCCTGTATTTTTAAGAAACCATACGCTAGGCATAATAGGAATTACAGAGGCATGTAAGCAAGCTCTCTTCTCCATGTTTTTGCAATTTATTTCAGCAGAATAATTAGATGGAAAGTTATATATAGAAATGGAGTAGGGTCTAATGAGAAAATAAATATGTTTAGTCCATGTAAAATGCCCCCACTTACAACAAATAATTATTTTATTTCTACCTCATTCTCTACTGCTACCAACCATGGATGAACTTGAAGACAAACTTCCTTCTTCCAAACAGAATACAATACCAAAGTACCTTTTACATGAACACCCTAGAGCAAAACCTCTACACACTGTACTATAATCTTTTGATCAATTTACCTGTAAAGATTACAGATGAAGCAAGGAAGAATTTCTGTAATTTGATAGTGATAATGCCTCATTTTTCAAAGGTTATTCAATAAACATTGATTGAATACCTTTTATATAATAGGCACTGTGTTTTGCTTTTGAAATACTCTTAGAAGAATCTCTAAATGGTCATTATTTAAAATACACTTTAGTATTCTTCTAAATGTAAAGCTTCTAAGTAACCATTTACAGTGTGTTAACTCAACACTTCATAAAGGGGAATAAAGAAACTCCAACATGGTTTAGGAGATCTGATGATACTACATCACCCTCCAATATGACTATCAATTTAAGCTAGTACCGCCACTAAAGCTCACCCTCAGAAACTGGTTGAAGTGTACTCCTGTGACCAATCAAAATTAATAGTTAATATTTTAAAGGGGTCACAGGTATTATTATCTCATTTAATGTTTCAACCACCTCATGAGACAGTTACTATTATACAACTCATGAGGAAACAGAAGTATGAAGAGACTAAACGGAAGCCAGGCGTGCCAGCTTCTGCATTCCCTCAGCTGCCACCTCTCCTGCTCTGCACACCAGACACCTGCTTTGTGGCCCCTTGACTCAGTCTACATCATATATGGGTAGAAACCCTAGTACTCCCTGCTCTTCCTTTGGTACACTCAGCAGACCTCATCTCTGTAGTGGTCCAGAGACCTGCAGTGGCTCCAACCCTGCCTCAACAGTACCTTCCTCCGCACCTGCCTGAGATCCTACTTGCTCCTGCCTCCTCCCTCGGTAAACTTTCGATCATGAGAACTATATTGTAAGGGCTAAAATTCCATGTGCTGCCTTGACATCTTGGAGTCTCCTGGGGTCCCAAAGGTCTACAGGTGTGTTCTGCACTTGCCAGATATGACCCCCACCCTACCCAGCAGGAAAAGATCCCTCCCAGACCAGCTTCCCTATCAGCCAGACCAGCTCCATCCCACCTTATCTTCAACCCAACTGGTTTCTCTTCCCTACAGTCCAGTGAAATTATCAAAACAGTCAATCACATCCTCCAAGAGAACCAGGGGTCACCTAACCCTCTTGTCACTACAAAGCCTGCCTGTCACAGCCCTGCTGGTTCACTCTGCTTCCAAGTGGACCCCTGTGTGGCCCTGCATGGCATGCAGTGTCTTCTTTCCCTGGACTGAGTGTGTGTGACTAATATAAACTGCTGTCTCATCTGCCCATCATGTGTTTGGCCATCTCATATTAATTAAGGAGGGGGACCCTTCCTTCATCAATGAGCTAAGTAGAAGGCAATACAAGTGCTTCCAGCTAGCTGTTCCCCCCAAAATCCTGACTTTTACCATGTCCTACCTTCTCACTCTTCTAAACACTGTCCTATTCAGTTCAGTTAAGTTCAGTCACTCAGTCATGTCCGACTCTTTGCGACACCATGAATCGCAGCACGCCAGGCCTCCCTGTCCATCACCAACTCCCGGAGTTTACTCAAACTCATGCCCATAGAGTTGGTGATGCCATCCAGCCATCTCATCCCCTGTCGTCCCCTTCTCCTCCTGCCCCCAATCCCTCCCAGCATCACGGTCTTTTCCAACGAGTCAACTCTTCACATGAGGTGGCCAAAGTATTGGAGTTTCAGCTTCAGCATCAGTCCTTCCAATGAATATCCAGGACTGATCTCCTTCAGGATGGACTTGTTGGATCTCCTTGCAGTCCAAGGGGCTCTCAAGAGTCTTCTCCAACACCACAGTTCAAAAGCATCAATTTTTTGGCGCTCAGCTTTCTTCACAGTCCAACTCTCACATCCATACATGACTACTGGAAAAACCATAGCCTTGACTAGACAGACCTTTGTTGGCAAAGTAATGTCTCTGCTTTTTAATATGCTGTCTAAGTTGGTCATAACTTTCCTTCCAAGGAGTAAGCATCTTTTAATTTCATGGTTGCAGTCACCATCTGCAGTGATTTTGGAGCCCCCAAAAATAAAGTCTGACACTGTTTCCACTGTCTCCCCATCTATTCCCCATGAGGTGATGGGATCAGATGCTATGATCTTAGTTTTCTGAATGTTAAGCTTTAAGCCAACTTTTTCACTCTCCTCTTTCACTTTCATCAAGAGGCTTTTTAGTTCCTCTTTACTTTCTGC